GTAAACGCTGGGATAAACAACAGGGGGAAAAGCTGAAGCTGATGCTTCACTTTATAGCACTGACATCAGTCATGAGGGAGTACGTTACCCCTAAACATTGAAAAGATATTAGGATATTATGACAACATTACTCTTAGGACATCGTAAACTAATTTTTTTCATGAATATGACTTAACCTGATGGAGGACGTACTCAGTCATTCAGGCAGTCTCTCTCTCGCGCGCGCGCTGTTTAGGCATGTTTTGTGCCGTTGATCGTCATCGTCATCCTTAATAAATAAAATATTTATTCATGCTTGGGTGTCGCTGTAAATCCAGTGGAGAGAAATCCCCCCACAACTAACTGCAAACTGGCATTCAGATCTGCCTCCATTTTGTTTGCAACGCCCCAGCTTCCAATGATCCAATCAATTGCCGAAGGACGAAATCAAGTCCCGCCCTCTCATTTCAGATGCCGTTTCACTCGAATATATGTCACAGTAGAGAAGAAAAGACAATCGCAACTTCCGTTTCATGCCGACTTTAAGCAAAGCTCTGATTCTGTGTTTTACAGTGGGGCAAAAAAGTATTTAGTCAGCCACCAATTGTGCAAGTTCTCCCACTTAAAAAGATGAGAGAGGCCTGTAATTTTCATCATAGGTATAACTCAACTATGAGAGACAAAATGAGAAAAAAAATCCAGAAAATCACATTGTAGGATTTTTAAAGAATTAATTGGTAAATTCCTCGGTAAAATAAGTATTTCTCATTTTGTCTCTCATAGTTGAGGTATACCTATGATGAAAATTACAGGCCTCTCTCATCTTTTTAAGTGGGAGAACTTGCACAATTGATGGCTGACTAAATACTTTTTTTCCCCACTGTATGTCTCCTACCAGTTTTCATCCAACCACTGCGAGGGGTTTTACTGGAAAGACACAAAATTGGGGCAAATTTTGCATATGCAAATTCTTCACTGCACCCACATAGAGATTTCCTAACACAGATTGCTTTCTATTCACCAAGATGACAAGAGGGGAAAATGAAAAATAAAATGATATTTTCCTCTCTTTATTTGTTACTGCTTAGAGTGGGAGTAGATTTTAAAAATCTAAAATAAAAATAAGTATTTATAACTGAGATTAGCTGTGTTCATTTCTTCCACCCAGAAGTTACCAAGACCTACTTTCATTCCCCCCTTTTTTATATTTGGAATTTGACATCTTGGCTTGTTTATAATGTCACACTATTTTTCTTGAAGGCAGAGAAAAGAGGCGCCATAGTGTGGTGGGAGTGAGAGCAGATTAATGGTTGTTTACAGTGAGAAAGGATGGAGGGACCATCTTTCAGAATTGTGAGAACGTTCCAGGCTATAGGATAGGATTCCCATTTATCTAAGACGGATGTGTCATAAAATACTTGACTTAAGCAAGACTGAGTGTCTGCTGTGAGCCTAAAGTAATCACATAAAGTGATGCTTTTTCATATTTGTCCACTTCATCTGTTTCAGCCCTTCACCTCTGAGATTGTACACAGGGTAGTAATGTACTCCTTTCTTCATTTCATATTAGATGGTGATGGTCATTACCACAGATGCTATCATTGTGGGTACGACATTTTATAACATATGACAAGTTATGAAAGAGACATCAAATCCCAGCCATCAGGACCAATGCTAATGGCCCACATCTTTTTGTGCAATCCATCTGGTTCAGTTTTGCAATTCCACAAAACAGACTGTGTGAAATGTATTTCTCATTAGTGCCAGAGAAGTCTTATGTATACAGGATGTTATGTGTAGCTTAAAGCTGAAATGAAGGATATTTCCTGTGTGCTATTTCTAGAGCAAGGCCTTGGGTTTTAAACACCACAGCCAGTGATACGATTGGCTCTTTAGGGCCTCTGTGTTCTGAGGGAAGTGTCTTCTGTGGGCTTATTGGAGGTTTACTGTGTGGACGCTGTGAAGTGACGCCATGCTGGTCAAGTTTTAAGTGTCTTTTGTTTTCCCATCAGGTTTTAAATGAAGAATGTGACCAGAATTGGTACAAGGCAGAACTCAATGGAAAAGAAGGATTCATCCCTAAAAATTACATCGAAATGAAGCCACACCTGTAAGTATTTGCTCTTTTCAGCCAACAAAAGACTACATTTATTTAAATTGTCATCAATTACTCACCCTCCTGTTACTCCAAACCCATGAGATTTTGCTCATTTTTTGAAACACAAATGAAGAGCATTTGAATGAAACCTAAGAGATTTCTGACTCCTTTTGAGTCCACTGAAGAAAAAAAACACAGAATCTTCAAAAAGTTCATAAAGACAGGAAAGTAATCTGTATGAATCGAGCATTTTAATCCAAGTCTTCTGAAAAGAAAATCATGAACATATTTAATTGAGCTTTTCCCAGAAGCTCACCCATACTTGGCTTGGCCAATGAGGTTTGTACTCACTTGACACACAAGCTACGTAGCCCTACACGTGGCATGCAGGAAAAAATTGTAAATCTTGCACACAACATAATAATTTGTTCCCTCGCTTTACTAAATTGTGGTCATGTCACAATTTCTTATATTGTGTGCAGTATTTTATTTAAAACAAGGGAACGAGTTAGTAAATTGTGCTTATTATGTAGTGCATTTTTTTTTTCATGTCATGTGCAGGGCACTGTACAAGATCATATGAGCTTCTGCAAGAACCAGTGAGGTTTGTTCTCAGTGCCTCGAGCAAAAAAACATCACTGTTTTGGTGGAATAGACAATGTAGGGCCAGAAATCTCTCAGGTTTCAAGAAAAATATTGAACAAAAGTCTTCCAAGTTGGTTTGGCACAACAGAGTTTTCATGGTTGGGTGAACAGTTCCTTTAATTCATTATTTATATGAAGATACCCTGCCTCCATGTTAGTAAATGTTGGAAAATAATGCAATAACCCGTATTTAAAATTACATTGTTGAATTTGATTTTGAATTTGGTTTCTTTTTTGTTACATGATGTCAATGTAATGTCTGATTATTACCAATTAAGTTATGAATCCATGCCTCTGTTAGAACAGTACCTCTTTGTGGGGAAGTCGTGGCCTAATGGTTAGCAGGGCTGTCCAAACTCTGTCCTGGAGGGCCGGTGTCCTGCAGAGTTTAGCTCCAACCCTAATTAAACACACTTGAACCAGCTAATCAAGCTCTTACTATGCATAGAAACTTCCAGTCAGGTGTGTTGAGGCAAGTTGGAGCTAAACTCTGCAGGACACCGGCCCTCCAGGACCGAGTTTGGACAGCCCTGGGTTAGAGAGTCGGACTCATAACCCAAAGGTTGCGAGTTCGAGTATCAAGTCCGGCAGGAATTGTAGGTGGGGGGAGTGAATGTACAGCGCTCTCTTCCACCTTCAATACCACGACTGAGGTGCCCTTGAGCACCGAACCCCCAACTGCTCCCCGGGCGCCGCAGCATAAATGGCTGCCCACTGCTCCGGGTGTGTGTTCACTGCTGTGTGTGTGCACTTAGGATGGGTTAAGCGCAGAGCACTAATTCCTAGTATGGGTAACCATACTTGGCCACATGTCACGTCTCTTTAATATACGCAGGGTTGCGGAGTAACGGAATGAATGTAACGGCGTTATGTAATCAGGATACAAAAAACTGGTAACTGTAATTTTGGTACGTGTGGCTGTAGTCTAAAAAGCACAAGACGAAGGAGTAGAGTCCAAGGAAGTAATTTTAATAAATCCACAGGGAGAACAGAACAGCCTGACATAGGCACAAAACATCATCATCAATACAGGACAAACTACACAGGGCTTAAATAACTGGAGGAATGTAATCAGTAAGAACAGAAACAGGTGTGGAGTTGATTAACAACTAATGGAACAGATCAGCAAGGGAAAATGGGAATACAAAACAGAAACATGTACTACCACCATGTCGAAGCAGAATGTCCGATGACAACATGGAGAAAGTCCTTTGTTACAACAGAAAGTTTTGCCCAAAGCGTTAGGTTTTAACTGAATGAACAGTTTGAATGCACATTTAGTCTTTCATTAGATATGCCAAATGCTGCTAACCGCACACAGGATTAAACTTTGCAGAAATTTTGAATAGTACAATATTATTAGCGTTGTTTAATGTTAACATAATTCAGTGCATCTGTTCTTATATTTGCTTGAGGAAAAATGCAAATTTGTATTCTGTATTTTTCTGTTGCAAAAACATTTCTGTTGTGTTCTGGTTTCATATTAGCAGAGCATTTAGTTACAGCATAGTTACATGGCATTTTCTTAAATATTTAATATTGTGCATCAAATAGGTTATATTTTGCATCATATCCATAATAAATATAAGTATTTTGGATTATATTGCTTTTACTTGAATTTATTTACATATGTGACCTTGAAGGAAAGTAATGAAGGAAGGTAATCAGATTACTTTACTTTCATACTGTGGTGCTTGGATTACGTTACTGGATACTTTTTTAATTAAGTCATTTGTAACTGTAATGGAATATATTTTTAAAGTAACCCCCAAGACTGAATATACAATATACACTAATAACACAATAAACACTCTCTGTATTTCTAATACTCAAGTTCAACTACTGTCCATCCAGTAGACCTGGTCACATTATATATTATATATTTGATACATTAAAGATGAGATTCCCTGTCTCATAAATGCTTTGCAATCTCTAAATCCAAAACTCATGTATAATGGTATGTCAACAGTGCATTCTACAAAGTATCTTTAACTACTGCTTTTGTATTTGTTCTGAACACGCAGCTGGTTTTATGGGAAGATTCCCCGTGCAAAGGCAGAAGAAATGTTAAATAAACAGAGACACGATGGAGCATTTCTCATTAGAGAGAGTGAGAGTGCACCTGGAGACTTCTCGCTGTCTGTCAAGTATGTATTTGTCATTCGATTCGATTCGATTCTAATGTTTTGCCAATTTGTACATGACTGTTCTGAAGTCCTAGTAATGAACACATAGAAACAAAGGCTGCTGCTTTTGAAATTTTGATGCAGTAATTGAATCTGTTGTTGTAAATGGGGGCATGTCAATGAATAATTGATGCAATGCAGCACAAAATATGGCCGTTCGCAGCACTTTATTTGTGTTATTGCAAATTCTTGTTGTGTGGTTTCTAAACTAGGCCAACACTGTCTGAATCATTCAAACGGTTCTCCACAGATAGTAGCAGACCTCAGAGCTCATGATAAACTGAACAGTGCAGAGTTCTTCACTATAATTGCAATATCCAAGTGTTGTAAATGTAGCCGACTATGATGTAATTCTCTATACTCTGTGTGTTTTCCCTTTCCTGTAGATTTGGGAATGATGTCCAGCACTTCAAAGTCTTACGGGATGGAGCAGGAAAATACTTTTTGTGGGTGGTCAAATTTAACTCATTAAACTCTTTAGTGGATTATCATCGGTCCACTTCTGTGTCCAGGAATCAGCCCATTTTCCTCAGGGACATTGAACAGGTTCCACAGGTAGGACTGAATCAGTGCTGGAAAATATTTTATATGTATCAGAATTATCATAAATACTTTTAAATACTTACAAATACTTAAAACCAACATTTGCACCAACGTTCTATCCTCGGAGTAAGAGCTTATAAAACGAATCGTTCTTTTGAACCGGTTCTTTTTAGTGAACCGGTCGAACCAGTTCACCAAATCGAACTGAATCGTTCAAAACAGATCGCGTCTCGAGTCAGCAGTGATCCACAATTTTCTAATGTTTCTCAATTTTAGACATGCCTGACAAGTCTCTATGACTCGAAATAAACCTATATCCTGTAGTATATGTTACTCCTGTAACTGTGCAGACCGAGAGAACCGATGAGCACGAGCAGCTTATATACTGAGCATGCGTGTACTACCGAACGAACGGTACTGCTACAGCGGTTCTCGAGTCAACAATTCTCGAATCACCAGTACACTGAACCGAGAACCGTTTCTTTCGGACACGTTCGACATACTGAGAACCGATGAGCTGGAGATACTGAGTATGCGTGAAGCTAAAACTGATGCTGTGATATGATATTAATATACTATGAGCGCGAGTGAACAGAGGACTTGAATGAGGGGGTGAATTTGACGAAGTTTATTTAATAACAGATAAAACTTACTGGAAAAAGAACGAATGAATTGAAGTCATTACGTAAAAGAACTGGTGAACCGGTTCGTTGAAACGAACTGTCTGAAAGAACCAGTTCGCGGAAAAGAACCGGACTTCCCATCACTATTAAATAAATATATATTCAGCTATATATGGGTGATTCTTAGACTATGGGCACTTTTATGTTATTTGGTCATATTTATAAAAATACATATAATTTTGGACAAATTCCTCTTTCTTAGTCAAACTAACAATAAAACCACCTTAAAAACGTTGTACTACCTTTCTAATATGATTTTTTCATACTTTTCAAGCTCCTTATAGGTGTCAAAATCACTGTTTTCTCCTTGTCGCACACCCTATATACTTCAGTTCTTTCTGGTCTTCAAATCTGATTGGCTGAGAACTTTTTCCAGAAATGCAATTGATATTCTAGTGATAACTAAACTCCAACCGTTTCACCGTTTGGATCACTCCGCTTGCAGTATTTCTCACAGCGAGTGTCATGTCGGATGCCCACTGTTTTTGTGTCACGAAATGTAGTTTTAAGAGGTTTTTATGTGAGGATGTAGTTGTTTAGACTTCAAATATGAGGTTTGTTAATAAAGACATCGTCTATTTGAAAAATTGCTTCGACATTTTTGGGGATGTGAGTTCTAGGGCATCAGCAGCCGTTCAGTGCTCATGAATCCTCCGAAAGCAGCCTTATGTTGGCTGTTGATGTGGTTTATTAAATATTATTCAATAAATAATATTTATATAAATAATAGTAGTATTTAATAGTAGTATTTAGTATGTAATACTATTAACACTACACTAGTAATGGTGTGTTTGTGATTGTGATTTTAGTTAAATTTTTCCGCCATTAGATGGCAACGAGACTGTTTTTACGAGCGAGTCAGCAGTAAAGGCTTTAATATTGAAAGACTGAAACAGGGTGGTAAACAAGTTATTTTTACTTTCAACAACACCTTGTAAGATGCAGCCAACAAATGCACTGAGCAGCACTGTCACTCTTTAACAGAGGAAAGGATAGTAAGACAAAGATAATACTTTCCTCAGCGGACATTCAAAATGTTTTATTCTGAATATGAGATTGAGCTTTTAGTACAGTAATACAATAAGCTTTTAATGAATCAAATGAACATTCCTACGTTACTAGTTCTAAAGTGATGTTTTCTAATAATAAACGGAGGCTTGGGCTCAGCTGTTAAACTCAAACTGGAAACCATGGCGGAAGGAAGTAGTTCCACACAAAATAGGGTTTTTAAATACACTCCATTGTGGTCTCTTTTTTTATTTACACACTTGTAAAAGGTACAAATAAAATAAACAGTGCTTTTCAGTTTTTTTTATGTAGGTCTAACATTAGTTTTTAGGTACAGAAATTGAATAAAGTAATCAAATGTAAAATAACATTGTATATTTGACTGTATAAATAAAAAAATTATCATTATTATTAGAAAGTTACACCCCTAGTGTATATATATATATATATATATATATATATATATATACACACACACATACAGTATATCCCCCCAAGTATTACTCCAATAAACTAATCTAAACACAGTCATGATTGCAGTTACAGCCAGGCATTAGACCACATTCAAGGCAATATTGTCATAATTCTCAACATTTCTACTTTTGTTCCACAGCATTCCACATATGTTCAAGCTTTGTTTGACTTCGACCCTCAAGAGGATGGAGAGCTGGGTTTCAGGCGTGGAGATTTTATCCAGGTCCTGGACAACTCGGATCCTAATTGGTGGAAGGGGGCTTGTCACGGACAGACCGGAATGTTCCCTCGCAATTATGTCACTCCTGTCAATCAAAACATGTAACTTTCAGAGAAAATGTTTGCTTGCTTAAAGCACCTGTAGACTTCCAGCTGGGTTGCCATGGAAACAGAAACCACAGAGTGATGGAGAGAAAAGGCTCAATTGGTGACATAGTTGTCGATTGGCCGGAAAAATAAAGACTGTGCTGTTTGGAGTGGTTGACATTTTAAGAAGCACTATTGACTGTGTGAGAAAAATGCTCCAGACTGATATTTTGTTCATGTACTGTGTATCACATCACCTTTGCTTCATATGCAAATTTATTTCATGGTACAAGACATCAGCTGTACAAACAAAAATGTTTATTTTATGTGAAGGAAAGCCACAATGTCACAATACTGGTACAGTTTTGCTCCAGGATTCATTTTAAAACACCGTGTTATGCTTGATTTGTATTGTTAAAATGCATCAAGCATTTTTCATGCTTGATTTTTGTATTTGTCTTTTGTCATCTTTCCAGAAATAGTGTTACTATGTTATCTGGTGTGGGATGATCAAGCATAATTTCACTATGCCATATAATTTAATTTCATACTAATTTATTTGTCTTAAAGAGATAGTTTACACAAAAATAAAAATTCTGTCATTATTTACTCACCCTCATTTGTTCCAAATGTGTATGATTCTGTAGAAGAAATATCAGAAATGTGCATGGAAGAAAGTGGCATACAGGTTTGGAACATCATGAAGGTGATGCCAGAATTGGTGTTTTTGGGTAAACTACCTTTAGATCAAAATAGCTTGAAAATAATGTAATGGTGCCAAAGCCTTTGTAGCAGAACAGTGATTAAATGTAACAAATTTGAAGCATTTGATGAATCCCTTTAAATGGCACTGGGTATATAATTCCATTTGGGATTTTCAGTATGTTGGTTACTCTAGATGATTCCTGTATAAATTGCACAGAATAAAGATACTTTCCGTGAAACCTCCCAATGCACTTGTACAGATTTTTTTTTGTGTGAGAAAAAAAAAATCTCAAACGTTTGATATATCTGCTTAGTAGTGAACAAAATTCAATGATCTGGACTTTGTGCCATCAAGAATGTTGCCGTATAACTGTGCTAACAAAGGGCTGAACTTGCTCAGATGGATTACTTATTATGCATGTTTTGTAATGTCATGAAAGTTCCTTATCACACTTTATGGGGGGCATTAGGTGCCTCTTTTTGAAGCTGAGGGCTGCACACTGTTTATGATGTAATTTGAGGTTGTTACTTTTGTTTCTGTTTTTGAGTTCATTTTTTCTTTATGTTGCCCTGATTTACTAAAAGAAAAATATCAAGCGTATGCATCTGTAAGCCACTTTTTTATGCTGAATTATTATTTTTTTATCTTTAAAGTGTAAAGCTAATGTACATCAAAGGATTGTAGCCTTACATATTCTTTCTGTCAATGTAATTTTTCTTCAAATTCAAATTGTTTTTTAAAATGTTCAATGTATGATGAGTTGTGTTGCTTGTACACTTAGAAATGAGAGGTATTTATCTCTGTGTCATAATGGAATAATGATTTATGTTGATACTAAACCATTTTATCAGCTGCAAACCTCAACAATAGAAATATACATGGCATAAATTTGCTGTCTGAATAGTGCAGTTTCATAATACTGGCGTTTATGTACACCTGTACAGTGTAGATTATGAGTGAAATGCATTTCATAACATTTACCTGTCTTAAGTGTTCATTTTATTTATTATTTAAAAATTGTGTAAATCAAGTTATGTATTACAGTATTTACAATATACGCAGAATTCAGAGCTAAACAATAAAATTGACTGCTAGTATATGTATGTATGACCTTGATTAGCTGGTTCAGGTCTGTTTAATTGGGGTTGGAGATGAACTCTGCAGGACAGTGGCCCTCCAGGAGCAGGACTGAACACCTCTGCACTATACCTAGAACTCTCTTCTCAGTCAAATCTTTCACTATATGACAATAACTGTGTCCACATAAAAAAAAAAAGTTTTTGTGAGCAACATGTAAATCATATAAACACACAGTAGCATAAAAGGTTCATGCATTTTCAAATGACAATTCCGACAGACTCTTTTCTCTCGTCTCGGTTGGTTGGAGCCACCAACAACCTCTACATGTTTATACTTGTTATTTTGTCGCCCCCTGGTGACATCTTGCAAAAGAAAGTTTTTTTTGTTTGTTTTACAATTGCACACAGATAACCAGTAATATTGTGATATTTAAATAAATAGTTTACAGAAATTGCTTAAATATTTAATAATACTTGAATACACATTAGTTGATTTTAATAGTATAATGATAAGATGAGTTGGTGATGTGTGCATGTCAGTGTTGAAATCCACCAAATTAATAGAATTCGGAGACACGTCTAAAAGCGCATGCGCACTGGCGAGTCCCAAGACATAAGGAAACGAATCGAACAAACAAGCGCGAGGATTCCCCCGTGCAGCGTTTGAAGTAAGAGAGTGATATTGGACATAAATGTTTTGACAAATGTATTTTTCAACGAGGCTAGAATGTGTGCTCATTTGAAAACATTTAGCTCGGCGTTTGCAGCAAGATGTGCACGCGAGCGAACCTTGTCATGTTCTGTTTTGTTGTCATGCAGTGCAAATGATTTTATATTTATGTGTTACATTAATCAATTTGTTTATTTTATGTCTGTGATCGTTGCCCTGTTCTGATGAGCTTATATTATTTCTAATCCCTAGCAGCATGGATTCAGCATGGACTGCTCTTGATGTAGTAACTCAGACTATGGTTCAAAAAGCGATTGCCGGTATGTCAACTTTACCTGACTTCCTCTGATAGCTCATTAAAATGCATTGGCAAGAGTTTGAAAAAAACAACAACATGCCATTAGTTTAGCTCTGCAGGCTAAGAACTTTCAAAGAACAAATTCATTTATTTTCCACCACTTCTTCACAGATCCCAAGACGGTTGATTTGGAGAAGCTGTCTAACGCTATTGTAGACCAGTCATTGAAAGACCTCTCATTCTGTAAAGATGCTGGCCGCATGTGTTATGCTGTAGTCCAGGTAAGTCTTTCTTATGTTGTTCATGAACTAGTGACCTAGTCAAAACATAAAGCTGTTTTCATGAGCCTACATCTGTTCTTTGTTGCTGCTGTCTTCAAAAACACACAGGATGAAATCAATCTCCACTGAAACCCCTTTTTTTTATTTTGATCATTTAATCACTAAATAGGCAGAAGTTCAGAAAGCTGCAACTAGTGTATTCAGGCGAAATCTGTTGACGCGTCTACAGCAAGAGTTCACTGCCAGAGAGGAGACCCGAAACCGCTCAGTGCAGGAGTGGGTGTGTTTGGTCACATTTATCTGCAGCATATTTGATTACATCAAGGTAAAAGATATCCCTCGCAAGTTTTTTTTTTTTTTTTTCCTGCCACAAGGTTTTAGACTTATATGATGTTTTATTTTTAGGTGAACAATGCACCTCTTGTGGCCCTTGTGGATCCAATATATGACTGCCTCTTTAGGTTGGCTCAGCCTGATGCCTTGATGAATGAGGAAGAGGTAAGATGTATTTCAGCACATACATATTTGAAAGTAAATTTCACTTTGGGAAGAATTTTTGAATGTCTGCTCTGCTGCTTTGGAAACTTAACCTTGTTTCAAATTAATGTTGTCAAATGCGTGATAGATTTTATGCTACAGGCAGTGTTGGGGAAAGTTACTTTTAAAAGTGATGCATTACAATATTGCATTACTCCATAAAAAAAGTAACTACTTACGTTACTTAGTTACTTTTTATGGAAAGTAATGCGTTGTTACTTTTGCATTACTTTTTAAATCTGGACAGGGCTTGCGTTATTTAAAATAAAAAAAGTTGTATTTTTGGCAAATATAAAAGCCTTTTCACACCAAAAGTGAAATAAGCCTCAGGCTGAAGGAAAAGTACATTTATGTCCGTACAGTGGAATGCAGAAGAAGAAATTTCAACACACTTCAGCAATAAAAAAAGACACACAAATGTTTGTCTAGAGTAATTTTAGCTTATTAGTACGGTTGAACTGGAGCACTATTGACTGTGTGAGAAAAATGCTCCAGACTGATATTTTGTTCATGTACTGTGTATCACATCACCTTTGCTTCATATGCAAATTTATTTCATGGTACAAGACATCAGCTGTACAAACAAAAATGTTTATTTTATGTGAAGGAAAGCCACAATGTCACAATACTGGTACAGTTTTGCTCCAGGATTCATTTTAAAACACCGTGTTATGCTTGATTTGTATTGTTAAAATGCATCAAGCATTTTTCATGCTTGATTTTTGTATTTGTCTTTTGTCATCTTTCCAGAAATAGTGTTACTATGTTATCTGGTGTGGGATGATCAAGCATAATTTCACTATGCCATATAATTTAATTTCATACTATAGTCAAGTAAACTTACACATATTCATATATTTGTCTTAAAGAGATAGTTTACACAAAAATAAAATTCTGTCATTATTTACTCACCCTCATTTGTTCCAAATGTGTATGATTCTGTAGAAGAAATATCAGAAATGTGCATGGAAGAAAGTGGCATACAGGTTTGGAACATCATGAAGGTGATGCCAGAATTGGTGTTTTTGGGTAAACTACCTTTAAATCAAAATAGCTTGAAAATAATGTAATGGTGCCAAAGCCTTTGTAGCAGAACAGTGATTAAATGTAACAAATTTGAAGCATTTGATGAATCCCTTTAAATGGCACTGGGTATATAATTCCATTTGGGATTTTCAGTATGTTGGTTACTCTAGATGATTCCTGTATAAATTGCACAGAATAAAGATACTTTCCGTGAAACCTCCCAATGCACTTGTACAGATTTTTTTTTGTGTGAGAAAAAAAAAATCTCAAACGTTTGATATATCTGCTTAGTAGTGAACAAAATTCAATGATCTGGACTTTGTGCCATCAAGAATGTTGCCGTATAACTGTGCTAACAAAGGGCTGAACTTGCTCAGATGGATTACTTATTATGCATGTTTTGTAATGTCATGAAAGTTCCTTATAAACTTTACCTGACTTCCTCTGATAGCTCATTAAAATGCATTGGCAAGAGTTTGAAAAAAACAACAACATACCATTAGTTTAGCTCTGCAGGCTAAGAACTTTCAAAGAACAAATTCATTTATTTTCCACCACTTCTTCACAGATCCCAAGACGGTTGATTTGGAGAAGCTGTCTAACGCTATTGTAGACCAG